CTTTATTCCCCTGTCTGTTACCAATAAAGATTCAAACATTCTGTTAGCATCATCAACAACGTATAGAAAAGCTTTGCCTCCATCCTCAAAGACCTTCAGACAAAATGGAGTTGTCCATTTCTAAATTTTTTGTCCTGAAGAATAACTATCAAAAATCTCACAAGTCTACTCTATATCTACAAGACACATATGATAAACTCTCAAATGTTGCATCACCAAGTTATAAGTCAGTTTCTCTTATTTTCAGTTACAGCCTTTATAGCCTTGAAATATGTGAATTTAACAAATATATTCCTTGGCAATATTCTCCTTTATGCTACCCAATAATTTATTCTATGGATTTCTTCAATTTTCAAAGTTTTATCTATGTTGAGGTTAGGATATGTCAATTTTTCAATTCTTTTTCTAGATCTCTTCCAATATCCTCAGGTTTATCTCTACAGCCTAAATTATGTTTATGTATTTCAACTCATTCTAATTTGGCTTCCAATTAATTTCTGGCTGCTGAGGTGACTCAGTTGTAGACAGTTCCATAGATCCTATCTGCAATTCTTTACTTTGATGTACTAAGTCATCATTTGGGCCATGGTGTCACAGTGGTTCGAATGCAGTATTGCAAGCTGACTCTACTCACTGCTCACTGCCAGGACTTTGATCCTGACTGGTTCAAGGTGACCTCAACCTTCCATCCTCCAAGGCGGGTAAAATGAGGACCCAGGTTGTTGGGGGAAATATGCTGATTCTGTAAACCGCTTAGAGAGGGCTGTAAAGCACTGTAAAACAGTATATAAGTCTAAGTGGTACTGCTATTGTTATTTTACTGTATTTAATAGAAGCCGTGAGAGAATAACATGTTGTTTCTGAATGTTGATATATTTACTTAATTAATTTAGAGAGACTGTATGAAGTTTTCCTATAACAAATAATAATAATAATAATAATAATAATAATAATAATAATAATAATAATAATAATAATAATAATAATAAAAATAAAAAGTTGGAAGGAGTCTTAGAGGTCATCTAGTCCAACCCCCTGCTCAGGCAGGAAACCCTATACCATTTCTCCTCAGGGTGCCGTCAGCCAGACAGTGCCGGCTGGCAACCCCCAGGGGGAGGGCCTTCTCGGTTGGAGCCCCCACCCTATGGAACGAACTACCCCCAGAGATCCGGGTGATTCCGGATCTCCCCTCCTTCCGCCGCGCCCTCAAGACATGGCTATTTGAGCTAGCAGGACTGGCCTAAGGGTTATCTTAATTTGGTTTTAAAATAATTTTAACAAGAAAAGGCCAATAATTAATATTTTATTTTAATTACATTTTAAATTCAGTATTTTTATATTATGTACCTGTTTTAAATGGCTGTAAGCCGCCCTGAGTCCGCTGGGAGAAGGGCGGGGTAGAAATTTAATTAATAAATAAAATAAATAAATAAATTTCAGACAAATGGCTATCCAGTCTCTTCTTAAAAACGTCCAGTGTTGGAGCATTCACCGCTTCTGGAGGCAGGTTGTTCCACTGGTTAATTGTTCTAACTGTCAGGAAATGTCTTCTTAGTTCTAGGTTGCTTCTCTTCTTGATTTGTTTCCAACTTATCTCAGGTACATGAATCTATTCCTAAATGCTCCCAAGAATAACCATAACTTAACTAGCTTCTTAAACATCAGCAATGAGGGTGCTTTTCTTATTTCAAAGTGTAGCTTATTCCACAAGAAGGGAGCCTAGTAGAAAACATTCCCTTCCAATCTAAGTAATTCCTTATAAGAAATCCTATCCAAATTCACACCCTTAGATACTCCCTCTATCACGTGTCCAGGGATACCCCAAATTGGTATTTTATAATTTAACTTATAATAATACTTTTTCCAGACACGCAATAGAGCACTTCTTAAAATATGAGATTTAAAAGCCTTATCGACTTTTTTATTATAAATTAAATATGCATGCCATCCATATAATAAATCCCATCCCTCTAGTTGAAGTATACTTTTATTAGTTAAATTAAGCCAATCAGTAACCAATGTTAAAACCACCGCATCATAATATAATTTCAAATTAGGTACCTTAAGTCCT